AGAGAACGTCTCCTTGTAATAAACTCTTGTTTACCGTTAACTAATGGTCAAAATATTGTCTTCCGATTTTAAATTACTTCGTGACAAGCTATAAAGCTAAAAATTTTCATTACATTCTCTGTGGATAAAAATATAACATACTAAAACCATTTTTTCTCAAAATTTGATTTATTTTTCTTTCTTTGTTTCTTTTTTTTTTTTTTTTTAAATTCAAATGGGCTATTTGCCCAGAAGGACTATTAATTTCGTTTTGGCATTTGCGTTGATTCACCATAAATGTCGGTTTACTTTCCAAATTGTTGCCATCCAGTATTAGAGTCCTGTGTTATATTTAAAGAAATTAAATAATGAAGAATCTGCATAAATGTATATATGTTTATCGCAATGAGATAAAACGATGGTACCTAAAGCCATCTGATTTGAATAACGCACCTTTCCACCCAAATGTGGCCATCTTGAAGCCCAAATTTGGAATTTGTTTTATCACCTATTTCATATTTTGTAAACCTTTAACGAATTTTTCATTAAGGATAAATTTTTGATCGGAAATTCTAAAGATATGCTCATTTTAAAATTTGCCATTGAATTTAATTTTTCGGTTTAAGTGCGAAGAACATGATATTTAACCAATAAAGGCAACACACAAAACGTTAAAAACCGCCCCTTTGTGCGTAATGCAAAATCTGAAGGCTCTCATTTTTTTTTTTTTTTTTTTTTTTTTTAAATGTTGAAATAATTTTTTTGCTCGCATTTTAGTTTAACGATCAAACTAAAACTCTTTTAGAATTTTACGGTATGCATCATGGGATAGCTAATATGGAGGAAAGCTTATATGGAATTTTTAACGTAATATTTTTTCTCTTTGCCGAGTTTTCGAAAGTCGCTACGTTTTTCTTTCGAAAGTATGTTTTAACAGAGTTGTTGAAAGTAAAGCACTGATTTTCTATTATTGATAAATTATTTCTCAGTTGAATAATTTGATTTGCAACGAGGCATCGAGATTAAAAATATGAAAGCAGAATTTTTTAATGTAAAATATTTTTTAAACTCGTAAAATATTTAATGAACTAAAAATAGGTTTTGTGCATTTTTATGGAAACGAGAGATTAAATAGTTCTCTTTACAAAATTCATTGACAGTTTTTATTTCACGAATGATAAAAACGTGGCTGTTAAAATAATGAAATTTTTTAATCGAATTGCATTGCCAAAAGTGTAAACCATTACGTATCTGAATTTGTCAGAGGCTTGTCTATGCTGTTATTATTCCTGATCTAAAATTTATAGATGAATATTTTAATGTTAAATATGTTTAATTGTATTTTATTATACTATGTGATAAATTATTTTTCTCTTTTTAATTCATTAACCATTTTCTGAATCGCCAAAGACGCGCACAGGGGAGTAGCGAGCATAACTAGCGCCCGGTGCAAAATACCTCTTTGCCCTGCCCCAAAATATCATCATATTACTGTAAGTGTTTACAGTAATATGATGGTATAGAATGTATTAGCAACAAAAAATAATGCAAATAATAATAAAATGCTGAATCTGCCATAAAATACTCTAAAATACATTAAGTATAGTCACTACTTAACTACACTATCATTGAATTCGAAAATGTATCTGTGTGGGAGATTCAGTTTCTTTTCTACTACGGAGTAACATCTTGCAGTCACATTCACTGCTCAAAACAATTAGGGAATATTGTGAGTTGGTATGAAATAACCATATAATCTACAACCTTTTTAACTAAATGGAATAGAAGAAATTATAAAAGAAAATTATAACATTTACAAAGTTGGAAATATGAAAATTTAGTCTGTGACGTCAAAACCTATGCGTTTTGGATAAAGGGTAAGGAGCAACCTGCAGTATTCCTTTTTGTAGTAGGAGACTAAAATCAATTGACACACGTTTACTGCTTTGTAGCAGTGAATATACGATGTCTCAGCAAGATGACTGAGTTGAATCGGTAGCCAGAAAGGCCATCAATCGTTTACAGGACAGTCAAATGCAATCCACTGTAGCGGAAGCGTTAGGAGTTACCCAAAATGTCATTTCCAGACTAGGAATCGGTTTTGGGAAAATGGATATGTTTGAGAAATTCGAAACAAAGTCGTATTATCGTTTTAAAATAAAAAGCAGGCGCTATACGTGCATTTCGTTAAAAAAAGTAAAAATATCTCTAATTTTAGAGAAATAAAGTGGTGAGAATAAAACGTTTTGTATGGGGAGATATTTGGTTTGATGTACTGCAAACATTTTATTACACATTTTATCAGATAAATCAGGAAAATAATTATATTACAATAATTATGTAATTTAATATATCATACTTTATGTATTTAATTATTATAATTTAAATATATTTTCTAGAAATCGATCAAAATAAAAACACAAATCTTCGGAAAAATCTTGCTTGGAGATCATTTGGCGCCCCTCGGCGAGGGGTGCCTGTAGCATCGCCCCTCCCCCTGTCGCTACGCCACTGGACGCGAACAGATTTTAATAGTATTAACCTGAATAGGCGGATGAAGTATTTTGATATAATGCACACTGAAAAAAAATGAGACAGTTAATGAGACAGTCTCCCGTTCTACTGGGCCGATTGACGAAATTCAAATAGCGTTTTTCATATCTCGAAAGCGAGACTTAGGATATATATTAGATTTATATATAGCATTCTTCTAACATAGGTATTTTGAAACAAAATCGGACTTTGGATGAAATAACATACCAATTTGTTTCCATACTTGGATTCTACGACACAAATTATGCGTAATTATTAAATTTTGTCAACTTTGGTGCGAAAATTACGGAGAAATTCAAAAATTTATTTTAACGCAATTTTTTCAGTTTGCCCCAAGAATAATTTACTCGGCGAACTTCTTAATAATTGGCAACCCATTCTTTTTGTCTTTCCATTATGCCCAAGCGGAAAAAAAAGGCATCTCTTTCGTACCTTTCTACGGCCCACCAGCGGCCGAGCAGTAACGTCGCTGAACACTGGTAGTTTGGTCCGAGGTTCGAATCCCGCGACCGGGCTGGCTGCATGGGTGTTTTCGTGGTTTTCCCCATGTGTAACGTGTATACGAGCCAGTTTCCCTTAGAAAGTCCTCCACGAAGGCATCCCTCCCTTAAGGCAGATAGCCCTCGAGTGCTTTGCCGTAATCTAATAAACCAAACCAACCAAAACCAAACGTACCTTTCTACATTGCGCATGGGCGGAAAAATGTCACATCGTTCCTACTTTCAAATAATTTTTTGTAAAGTGTCTACACCACATTTGATCTTTCATTTCTTTCATTAAATATGCCAAATTTCAAAACGCGCCAATATATAAATTCACGTATATCTTCGGAAATTTTAATAAAAAACTGTAGTATTTTGAAGGTATGCTTAGAAGTACGTCTACTTTAAGATGATGGTAAAAATGTTAGATTATAATTCAAAAATGTTTTTGAAAAATTTATAAAAATTACTTTAAAATAAAAGTTTTTAATTAAATCATAAAAACGGGTTAATTTTATTTGGAATGAACCTGAATTTCGAAATGTGAAGGAATAATAATAAGTTTAATAAAAAACGAGAGATTAATATATGTACCAAACTCAATTAACATTGAGGAGCTAAATTTTGAGAGCTAATTTTTAAAAACTCTACTCGTCCAAATTTCTTGTAATTGGAGAATTGAAATATGAACAAATTGCTATGTTATTTCAGGAAAACTCCGACTTTGTGTCAAATATTTGTATAAAATACTATATAAAATCTAATACATATCCGAAGTCCGCGCTTTGGAGACGTGAAAACCAAGTTGAATTTCGGCATCGGCCCGGTACGGGAGATATGAATTGTCTCCTTTTTTTTTTATAGTCCCAGAGGGGCTTGCCCTGAAGGACTTTGTTTTTTTCGCATCTGTGATTTTGCGTTGAATCACTATAAATGCGAATCACTTTTCAAACTTTGCCACCAAGCGAGAGTCCCTGCCTTAATTGAATAATTAATAATGAAAAATCTGCATAAATTTATGTATATTTTTTCGCATTGTGATAAAAACGGTACATAGAGCCATCGAATTTTGAATGACGTAATCCTCCTACGAATATGGGCATGTGGAAGACCAAATTTGAAATTTAGAATTTATTTTATTATCGATTTCAAATTTTATAAGACTTTAACGAATTTTTGAGTACCAAACTCACAGATTTAAAAGCGAGCAATAGCAACACTCTGCGGAGAAGGAAAAAAATATTTTTATCTCCAGCGCGCTGAACTGTGCATCGGAAATTCTAAAGATAGGCTCATTTTAAAAATATTTTACGACATTTCTATTGAACTGAATTTCATGGCTTGAATGCAAGAAATGATATTTAAAATAAAGGCAACGCACAACGTTAAAAGCCCCTTTGGACGCATTAAATCGAACTTTCAAAAAAATTTTTTTTTGTTACGTATGGCGCTCGGAAACAAATTAGGTTTGCAATTTAATTATCAGACTTGGCAACGGTTTCTTTCTTCTTTCTCTTTCCTTTTCTGTTTGTGTTTGTTCGCTTTAAACCCATTTTTTTGAAAAGCCTGATTTTTTTTCACTTTTCTGTTAAAAAACCCCCCCCCCCCCCCCCCCCCCCCCCCCCCCCCCCCCCTTTTTATATTTATGAAACTTTTCAACAAATATTCTCAAATACTGCGAATTATATTGTTATATTGACTATGTATATACATATTGAATTTAGGTTTATATACATATCAAAACTTTTTTCAGGTAATTTTTTTAAATGAAAAAACAGAAATTCCTCTAAAAATAGCAAGTGTATGTACTCAAACAGGTATATTGAACCGACCTTTATCACTGAGATTTTAGTTCGTTTAATTTTTTATACCTCAATAAATATAAGTGAAAAATATAAAAATGAATTATGGATATTTTTGTGAGGACATACCTAAAAATCCTGAAACTTGACCCAAAATGTAAGAAAAAAAAACCCGAAATTATACTTTGATGATAAAAATACGCTTAAAATGATAAAAATACGTTTACACCTATTTTTATCATTTTAAGCAGTTAAAAACACTAGTAATACATTTATTTGGACTATTTTTCAAAATGTGTGCCCCATATGTAGTTGGATACCTTAAGATGAAAATATATTACGGGTACAGTTACAGTCCTGTAGATCTTATTTTAGTTGGAAATAGTAATAAGAAATATTGTCTTTAGTCATTTTTTTGTGAATTTAAAGACATTGCTCAGTAAGGAATTCTTGCGAGATTCTTCAATATTCAACTCTGCAATGACGTCGAAGACACCAGAAACGACTGCACGAGAACATCTGTTGTGTATGGTGCCAGTGCGATAGAATATTTCCAGAACACCATCTCTTGCGTGACCGCCGCAGTTATTCAGAGTATAATCTGCTAGGCAGGATACATCGTACAACATCTCTCTGAAAATTTCAAGAAAATATATATTTTAAATCAACATAATGTGACAACTGGAAAAAAAACTGTACTATTTATAAATATTTAAGATGTATTTATTATTTACAAAACTTTAAGATTATTATTAAAAAATATGCTTTTCCAAGGATTAAAAATCCACGTTATTTTTCATACTTCTGGAATCAAACCTGAACTAATCTGATTGAACGCTTTATTAATATTACAGGATTATTCCGTATGCATGAAAACAGCTGATACTTACGTATTATCCAGTCGACTGTAAACGTTAGCTGTTATCTAATCATGAAAGCTGGCGGAGAATCCGTTGAAGTTAGGTTTGAATCGGTCCTGGGGAATTCTGAAGGAACTGAATTCTCCTTATTTGACAGAAATTAGCATTCACGTCACTATGATTTTGCGCTTCGTAAAGATGCTTCTGCCGATTTCTGCTAATTTGGTAGGTCTTTTCCGTTTTAACGATGCTTTGTTTACAATAACGATTTGTTTAGTTTTAAAGATCTTTTGTTACGAGTAAAGAATTCTCGTAGGTTTGGGTAATTTGGCAAACCGCCTTGAGGGCTATCTGCCTAAATGGAGGGGTGCTTTTGCGGATGATTTACGAAGGAAAACTGGCTCGTATATATGTTACAAATGGGAAAAACTACGAAACCGACCATGGAACCAGTTCTTTCGTCTGGAATCGAACGTAGGTCGAAACTACCAGGGCGTAGCGACTTTACCGCTGGTGGGTTGAATTTCCGTAGGTGATTGTTCTTCAAAATGTAAAAAAAAAATACAGCAATAAGAGTTAATTTACAAAACCAGAAGTGCCTTATACAGAATCAGTCGCGGTCATATGAAACGAAAGCGCCGATGTTATTACGCCAACGTGATATAAAACGTGGACACCCAACCTGACAACAGCCATAAAATGAAGCTGGTTGACTTAGAGTGGATCAGATTTAGACAGATCTTTATGGAGGGGTTCTCCTCAGTTAGAAAACAAAGGAGAATAATTAACATAAGCGATCACATTGAAATAACAGCAAAGATCATCCAAGAGGCATACAAGCAAACCAGGAAAGAGAGCAATATCGACAAAACCTACAAAAGCAACCCTTGGTGGAACCAAAATCTCACAATCACAAAAAAAGTGTATGAGCCCCAAGGCGGTGCTGCCAACGTACATTGGTAGGCAAACGCAGAAGAAATAGAGGAATGTATAAAAGAGAGCAGGCCATCTGTAAAAAGAGGATCTTTGAGGCTAAAATGTCTTCATGGGACAGCTTTTGGGAAAACATACAGATCACCTCTTCCTTTGAGTCGCATTACGACATTGTCAAGGGTAAGAGCCTGGGACTGCTACAGTTAAGCGTTATACTAAAAAAGGATGGGATTAATATAACACAAGGGATGACACCATAAGGAAAATCATTAAACACCACTTTCCGGACGATACGGAAGAACACGATACTCCGCATCACAGGATCACCAGAGAAACAGCAAACATCCCTCCGAATACCCCAAATGATTGAGCCCTGATGATTACGGAGATGCGTAAAGCAATTGAATTAACAAAAAGAGTAAAATTCTCAAGCTCGGGTAGACCTAATATCTTTATCGAGGAATTAAGGATCACAGATGAGAAATAACTTCCACACTATTTAATGCATGCCTTAATACGGAATATATTACGCCACCCAGTTCGGTAACAACTTTTATTCTGGGGGTATTTTAATCGGATGGCTTCCTAATCGTACCACTCCCATGTGTTTTGAATATAATTTGTGCTTTATTATCCTCCCTGTGTTCGATCAATTGTTTTTGCATCATAATATCGAGATCAAATATATCACCGTTCAGCCATGTTGGCACATTCAGATTTTCAATATATTGAAAGTGAACATTATATATTTATGTTTTATTTTATTACCGATTTGTGCGTAACAATATATTTTCTAAGGAAGTTTTGTGTTTTTAGTATTTTTTACCTCCCTCTACGAACAACCCCATTCTGACTGCTTTCGAATTCATCCGAAGGATTTTTTGTGTAACGTTGGTATGTAGTAACAAGAAGAAAGGAACCTTTCCCAAAACGGACTGAAACATTGGTTAGAAGAGATTTTTTTCGTGAAGTTTGTACGTATGTATCTCGATAATCCAAACGAATAGCCGTAAAATGTTCAAATTTTGTGTTAAACGGTTCGATGAACTCGAGTATTTTATTCTTATATATTGGTAAATTAAAAATTTTTTCCTTTAAAAATAAATGAATTATGTCGTTTTTAAGTTCCGGCTAGAAATTTTATACCTTGTAAGGATTATGTTAATTTTATTAACAGTTAAATTTTTAAGTTAAAGTTCCTTTCCTGTCAAATTCTTCAACTTACTACTTCCGGCCAGAACGTAGTTTTGGAATCTTGCTGAATATTTAATGAGGAGGAGCGGTATTTAGATCACGAAGTTACTTACTGAGTCAGAGAGAATCAGAGTTTCTGATTTACGCGCGTCTGCCTTTTTGTCAACTCTTTCTCTCTCAAAGCTGTTATTACGCTCGGCCGTTCTCAGGCCCTTGCTAAGCTTCGTAGTCAAATAAGTTAAGGGGCCAACTCGATTTCAACCTTGATAGCTTCGGCTATACTTCTTTAGTTTAATCTTAGTTTAGTTTAATTCTTAGTTTTTTAAGTTCAAGTCCAAGTGCGGGCTTTGCTTGTACACTCCCAGGCGAAGTTTTGTTAAATCTTATTGAAATAATAAAGGGTTAGTTACCCTTCTTATCTTGTTATTTCTTGTCACCGAACTCAAAGCGATTATTCGCTTATCAGTTCTTAGATTCTTCACTTCCAACATTAACTTAGAATTCCGAAGTGAGGAACTCTACAACCTTTAGTTAATCTGCATGCAAGTTGTACACTTATCAATAGCATAGTTGTACACTTAATCAATAATATAGTTGTACACTTATCAATAATTTACCAGTTGATGCACCAACTTCAGTCTCTTTTTGCCCAGTGGGCCAAACGTTAACTTTCAATTTTGTGCACCAAAAAATCTGTCTACTTGCGCGCTGACTGAATTGCTTGTTTTCACGTAGAAACTTTAATTTTAATTTAAAAAAGTGTTTTTTTAAACTGTATTTTTGATGTTTTAGGTTTTATGTATTTTACAATTGTTAATGAAGATGCTTTGAGTTTTTATGTACGAGTATTTTCGCCTTACCGCGAAGTGAGACCTGAATAGATTGAATGAGAAATATATCTCTACAGAAATTCGAGGAAATAAGCTTGAATGTGGTGGAGCAAAAACTGTGTATAATTTAATAGGGCGTACAAGAAAAATCGCGTGGTGTCCTTATCCACGATATTTTATATTTGCATTTTCTTGTGTTTCTCCGTTTGACTTTTTTATATTGCACTTTCTGTCTAAATCTTTTAAGGAAGCATCATTAATTAAATATATTAAATAAGTTTTCTGTATTTTTTATGTCTTTATTTTATGATTTCTTCCTTATAACAATGTATGGCTTTATATCAATGAACAATTAATTATAGATTTTATCAAATTGTTTTTTATTAGCGGGATCTTGATTATGTATATCAGTTGTCTCTGTATATTCGCCTATCGGTTGACCTTTCTCAGATTTCATAAACGCCCCCAGTGGTTCATTACCGACCCTGCTGTGAGGCCTTCGCTCTAGCTCATTGACCAGAAGATCTATTTAGAACACTATAACGCTACTGGAATTAAGAAAAACTTTCTTACAAGCAGTTGTATTTGTGACGTTCTTCTTCGAGATCAACTCGACCTTCTTTTACAATCTCATCTTCCACATATTGTTCGTAGAGCTGCAGTAACTCACTTCTATCATCTGGACAGGTTTTTTGGATATCCTTTGCTGCGTATCTAAGACACGGAATCGCTTCTAATACCTCTGCAAAAGTATTACATAATTATTATTATAAAATCTTTTTAATACACATTAGGTAAACAAAAATTGCATTCCTTAAAAAGTCTGTAGATTTAATAATCCCAGTTTTAACATGCACACTTTTATCAGAAATAATAATAAAAAATTAAGATGCATTATTAATACAAAGATATGGCTTCCGGAGCTAATTTATGCTACTGTTTTATCTGATATAAATGATCGATCAGAACTAATTAAAATCAAAATCGTAAATTTATAAAAAAATAAATGTTAAAGAATTGAGAGCTGTGAATGAGGGTCAATATGCTATTACTCTCATTCGCAGCAAATATGACAGACATAAATATTAGGTTTCAAAGCCGCAGTACTTGTGAGCTCTAGCGTTTCTAACTTCATTAAAACTGACAAATTCGAAATGCTCGTTAAATTTTAATGGTAAATTATTTCAGTGTATGACGCAATAACACTTGAAGATGCATTACAAGTTATATATTACTTCGGTACTTTCGTATTATCCCTTGACCGTGAAAAGTGGCAGAGACACCGCCAAATTGAGCTAGTCTTACCTGCGGATTTCTAGAGGAACTGACGTGTGTTTATTTAATAAACAATTAGTATCGTTTTTTAAACTGTTTCGTTTCTGCGCTTCCTAAAAAGGCTTTCGTTATTTTCTAATCTTTTATTAGGCTGTCCCATTTCACCGGAAGATCTGTATAGAACTCTGAGTACATATGTTCTGTAGGTTACTATTTCAATCTATTGCTTCGTTGTCGGTCATATTCAGCTGAACATATAGTGTTCAATATACATTTTTGTTCAATACACATTTTTGTTTAATACACATTATAGTGAACAGTACACAGTTTTCTGACAGGAGCCCAAAGCTGTGAAAATAATACACTACTTGCTGTTTTGTAGAAGGCAGGTTTAAAATTTTAATAATTCATTTTTTATAACGGAAGGAAAATACAACACTAAAAGTTAATGGAGATGCCGCCAAATTTGCGCTTATCGTTTCTGTAGAATTTTGAAGCAACTGACCCTTCTTTATATATTGGGTTGTCTGGAAATTTCGTTCCGTTTTTGAAGGAAAATTTAAAGTAACATATTTAAATTTTAGTACATATTTATTAAATTATATTGCTACCATTCAGTTCTATAACCTTTCTCCATCTTTCAGGCAACTTGAAAAATTCCATTCTTTCAGAGTCTGTCAGGTGTTTTTTTAACGAAAACTTTTTTACGTGATTTTTTATCTCGACCAAAGAGTTAAATTTTTTTTTTTTTTTTTTTTTTTTTTTCATTAAGAGAATTTTGTAATGATCGAAATAGGTGGAAATCAGAGGGCGCGAGGTCTGGTGAATAGGGTGGAAAGGGGTAAAACAACGAGCCGAGTTCCAACAACTTTTGTAGAGTTAGCAAGGACACTTGAGATCGCGCATTGGCCTGATGAAACACGGCGCCCTTCCGATTCGCTTTTTTTGGACCTTTTTTTTTTAAATTGCAGTTTTTAATTCGTTTAATTGGGAATACTTATCTGAATCTGTCGTCTCGTTGTTTGGTAGAAGCTCATACTAATAGATTCCTTTCCGATCACACCAGACACAGAGCTTGACCTTGTCTGGATGAAGACTGGTTTTGGGAGTGGTTAAAGCTTGTTCATTCGGCTTTCGCCAAGATCGTTTTTTCTCAACATTATTATAAATGTTTCCTGTGTCATCTTCCATCACTACTTGCTTCAAAAATAGTCTCTCGTCGTTGCGTTTATAAAGTGCGTCTCAAAATGGAAAGGCGATCCATCAAGTTTTTCTCCGCTGAATTGCGGAAAACTCATACATCTAAATGGTTTATGTAGTTAAGCTTCACAAAATGCTCTTGGATGGCAGATTTTGACATGGTGTTTTAATTTGATCTTCATCTGTGGTGGAGGCTCTGAGCCAGCGTTCTTGATCCTGAAGTTTGAAATCAAGTCAACTTTCACACAGTTCTTTCAGCTACATCATCCTTGCTATAGACATCGCATATCTTGTTTCCCGCTTATGTGGCATCTTTGCCTTTGCAGTAGATGATAAATGCCTAAAATGCACTTTTTCTTTCATATTCAAAGGCATATAAAATTGACAAAATTTACGATATCACAACCAACCTTTTTTTCCAAATATGCCTAAAGAACCATCTTTTACAATATGTCGTTTGTTTTTAATTGTTCTGATATATTCAGAACTTGCCACGTACCAAAAATTGGCACGAACTCTCCTGACAAGCCATAATAAACAATAATAATTAGTATTCGACTCGCTTCGTTTTTACTCACCGTAAAAAGGCTTTCGTAAATTTCTACTATTCTATAAGTTCGATTTTACTGAAATCTCTGTTTAGAACGCTGTGAGTACAACTTCCTTTAGGTAATTGTTCCAATTATATGAGTGTTTTGTTGGTCATATTCAACTGACCATATTGTTTTCATTAATACGCAATTTTTTTTTAATGGTACGATCTTTTGGAATATATTCAACTCTTTGCTGTTTTGTAGAAGGCAGGCAGCAAATTTTAATCATTTGTTTTTAAAAACAAGGTAAAAAATATAACAGTGATAGTTATATTAAATCATAGTTCATAAAAATAAAAAGTGGCTTATCGAGAATCAGTTGGGTTTAGATCTAACGACAGGACAAATTTTGTAACGTCACGGGAGCAGATTTTGTGACTTCACGGACGCAGATTTTGTGACGCTTATCCACTTTGGACGTTAAATAGCTCTGTTGGCGATAGTTTCACGGTTGACTGGATCCTACGTAAGTACCCAGTTTATTTACATATCCTTCATTTCAAAATTAAAAACTGGCTTATCGATAATCTGTAGGGGTTAGATTAAACGAAGAGCAGATGAAGAAAAAGCGTATTTTTACGTGACGCTTAATCATAAGCTGTTCTAAATCGTGCTGCTTGGCGACAATTTCACAGTCAACAGATAGTACGTAAGTAATATGATTTGAATTTCATGCTTTAAGTTTCAAAAACCGTTTGTCTGGCATAAAATGGAGATGTGTTTTCTGAAGTAGAATGAATTTGCTACAACTCGCGACTGATGTTAGCCACCCAATCATGTGAAAATTTCTTTTACAAGCAAAAAGGAATAAATTCCCCATTTCAAAACTACTGTCTGTTTAGTAAGAAGAATTATTCGTCATTATCTTAAAAAGTTTTAATAGAAATATTTGAAGTGAAATTAACGAGAAATTTTAATTGATTTCAAGTAAATAATATTAATTTTTTTTCTTTTACATTTGGAATAACGTATCTTTGTTATATTAAATTTATCAACTTTCCTTTTTTAAATTTTATTTTAAGCTGCATTATTTATTAATTTTAGTTAACTTATAATTCTTCGAAATAAAATTATCAGGTTCAATGTTTCTTCTAACCTTCTTCGGAAACATACAATGACCTGACTAGAACAGAGAGCTTACTAAAGCTATGTTCACTAATTGTAGTAAGTAGACAGGATACAGACGAAGGGTATACAAAACCCTTTATTTTTTTCTTTATATACAATGACTTCCGTACTTCGGAATACAATGACCCTCCACTCGGGGTCTAACTTAAAAGATATCAAAATAAAACTAAACTCTAATTTAACTTTAGAATAACGTGGAAGATTGGCCTTATAATAACAGGAAGCGTATGTAGCACAGAGACTGTGAACACTACAATACGTTTAATTTATCAAGAGGATTAAAACCTCTGGCCTGGAAGGCAAAGTAGCAACTGCGTAACTTCTAAGGTAAGCGGCCTGCTTCGAACTCACGGCTTCCTCTCCTCTCTGCTTGGCAAAAAGGCCACACTTAAATACTTGGCGTTCGCCAGACAAACTTTGCATAAAACTCCTTCACGCTTATAATTCTGGCCGGAAGTAGAAAATAAGAAGTGATAGTAAAGATTTAAAATAAAATAAACGTTAGTAAAACTTAAGATCCTTACATACTTCCCGCCAGAGTTAATTAGTTTGAAACTGAGGTCTAAAACGACCTTGTTGAAAACTTTTAGCTCTATAGAATCTAACGCGAGGCCAATCTTTTACAAACATAACTTAGCTAGAAACTAGAAAATTTTAAAAGAAAGAAAATTTGTTACAATAGCAGCTCCCAGGAATATACAACAATCTTTTTTCTTTTTCATCTGTACTGCATCTAAACAGGAGCTTTATTCAATTCTGGTTCCTTCCAGAGATCTGGAAGGAAAACTAGTTTAATGAAATGTTACAGAATGACATTGCAAATAACATATAGAATATACTTTTCTTAACATTCTTATTTCATTCATGACTATTTTAATTATCTCTCCCCGTGCTCTCTGACATGTGTTGTAAAAAACACCAAACACGAATGTGTTTCTGTCTATGTGTTCAACACTTCCTCCTACAATCAAAACACTAACGTGTTAAAATTCAACATACGAGACCTCTTAACACACCCTAATTTCAACTCTAACCCTGAGGTACTATTCTGAAAGTGGCTAACTCTAAAGTGTAGCGTCAGAGAGCCTAACTACATCATTCAACCTTTAACACATATTCACCATGATTTAATCTTTACAGTCACACGAATAACAAATTTTTTTAACATTACTTTCACTTTTACCATATCACGGTATTTCTTAACATTTAAAATAACAGTTCACATTGTATATAAGAACATATCAACATGCCGTTAATTTTACACATTTGAAAACATACATTAGTAGTACATTGTTAACTTCTATTCTTTTCAAAGCAAGTGCCAATTCTTTCTACATTGAAATAATACTACATTTCAAAAAGTCTTTCAGACTAAAACTTCTTTCTTGTTAGAATGTTTTAAATAAAATTTATACAATAACTTTTTACAATATTTAAGTCTTTATACAACGCTATTATACATCAACTTTAGTTTTACGCGCGAGTAATTGAAAAACATAATAAGAAAATCGGTCACAACTCATTTCTCGCCCTTTTGGCGATAAAG